CCTCCCCGCCTCCCTGCTCTTTCCTTTTCGGTTTTTCTAGCCGAGTGTTTGGGGCTTTAATAAAACTTGTTTCTCTTTCCTCTCCTGGATCTCCTTCCCGACCTCTGCTGCCTCGTTCTGTTCTTCTCCCCTGAGGGCAGGGAGAGCGGGGCGGGCGGGCGGGAAGCTGCCGGCCCCCGCCGAAGGAGGACCAGGCCAGCTTTCACACAGCCTGAAAGCCAGTTGTCTTGGTCACTTGCTTGTTGCTGGGACAGAAATACCCGACACCCACAACTTAAGGAAAGAAAGCTTTATTTTGGCGCGAGGTTCAGTCGACGGCTCGGAGGCGGGCGGGCACCGCGAAGGGGAGCGGAGGAGCAGCGCTGCTCAGGACAGGGCGGCCGGAAGTGGAAGAGGGGAGCCGGAAGAGAGGAGCCCGGGCCACGCCTCTCCCGCCAGGCCACGCCTCCTAGCAGCGAGCCCCGCCTGCGAGCGCCTGAGGTGCTTGCTGCTGGACGGTCCATAAAAACCATGGCACCAGGGCCCTGCACCCGAACCAACAGGAGTCTGATCAAGTCCCCCGTCTTTGCTAGAGTAGCAGCCTGAGGGCTCGCACAGGGTCAGCCCTCGTCCCATCCTAGTTCCGGAAAACAGACAGCGGCTCCCGCCCATCGTGCCCACGCCTCAGCACCCCATGCACAGAGCGCTGCTTGCCGGGGGCTGTGCCAGGCACTTCACGCATGTTCCCAGCGCCCGCCCTGTGGCTCATACGGCTGGGACCGAGGCTCCAGCTATGGGCGAGCCAGCCAGAGGGCGGGGCCCCGGGGTAGACCAAGGAGGCACCAGGAAGCAGCCTGCCGCAGCTACGGCGGGAATGTACTCAGGGAGCTCCTGAGGGTGCCAGGCCAGGGGACACAGCTGAATGGAGCCCTTGAGAATCAGAAGTGGCCACCGGGCATGGCGGTGCACACCTGTAATCTCAGCACTCTGGGAGGCCGAGGCAGGAGGATCACAAGTTGCATTCCAGTAGGGGCAGTTTAGCCAGTCTCTCTCAAAAAGCAACTGTAAAATGAGCTGGGAGCTTAGACCTTGGGTTCAAACCCCAGTACCCGAAGAAATAAAAAACAGGAACTGGTTTGGTGGGAGCTGGTGGCCAAGGGTCCCAAGCTGAAGGCCCCTGTGGGTTCCAGGAAATGAGCAAAAGCCAAGCAGAGTGCGGAGTAGGTGGTCGTGTTGTGTGCGGTCAAAACCACCAGAGGGCATGAAGGAAGAATGTGTCTCCGTCTGAGCAGCTATAGCAGAAGTGAGAAGCAGGAACTCGGGTGGAGACACCGCGCAGGCCCAGGGCTGTGCCCACCGGGGCTACGCACCCAAGGGAGCAGGGGAGGGGGTTTCCAACCCGCCAGCGCAAGCGCCCTACCTCTCACGCCAGCCCAGACCCCGCCGCTGCTCTATGAATGCTTTATAAGCCTAAATGCAACCCAAGGTTCATTTAATCTGACAATTTGGGCAGGAGATGCTGTCAGCTCCATCTCACTGCGGGGGAAGGCCGAGCTAAACCAAGGGAGGAGCGGGATCAGCCTGGCCTCAACCCTCAGGGACCGGCAGTGTACAAAGAGGACCCCGGGAAGCCCTCTTCTCCGTCTGCACACCTCCTGTCGGTCTCCCTGGGCATTTTCTTTTTGTACCGGTGGTCGAACTCGGGACCTCGTGGGCGGTGGAACCACGGAACTAAATCCCCAGCTTGGAATTTTCTTATTTATTTGTAGCTTTAAAGAAGTTCTCAATAGGTTGCCTGTGCTGACCCTGAACTCGTTTCAAGGGATCCTCCTGCCTCAGCCACCGAGTGCTGGGATCACAGGTGTGCACCACCACGCCCAGCTCAGCTGCCTTTTGATTGGGCCCCAGAGTGCTCGTTTGGGCAGCACATATATTAAAATTGATTGGGGCCACAGAATCCATTCACGTCCACTGTAATTGCTATTAAGGTTGGATGATTGTTACTTTTTACCACATACGGTGCCTGTTTTGTTCCTGTAGTCCTTGAATCCAGCTTTCTTTTCTGTAAAATATTTTCTAAGTTATCTTTTGAATTCCCAACAGTTACTGTACTTTTTGAGTTACCTTCTTAGTGGTTTCCCTGGGGATAACAACTAGCATCTTAATTTCTAGTCAGCATCTAAACCAAGCTAGTTCGGGTAAACTCTTAATTTTTTTTTTTTTTTTTTTGTACCATGGATCGAACTCCGGTCCTTGCACTTGCGAGGCAGGCAGCAGAACCACTGAGCCAAATTCCCCGCCCTAAATTCAATTTAATTTTAGTAGTATATAAGATTTTTGCTCCAATGTAGCCCTTTCCGTCCCACTCCCATGCACCGTTATTTTCATACCCAACAGTTCTGTAATTACTGCTGTATGTGGTAAAAATTGAAGACAAAAGAAAAATTACAACAAAAGTTTCATTTGTTTGGTACCAGGGATCGAACTCAAGACCTTGTGCTTGTGAGGCAGGTGGTGGCACCACTGAGCCAAATCCCCTGCCCTGATGTGTGTGTGTGTTTTCTCCTATGGATGTGCTTTGTGGACTCTTCTTCCAGTTCCAAGGCTTCCTTCGGTGTATAGAAAGCGTATCCAATGCCTGGCATAATGATGCATGCCTGTCATCCCAACCCTTGGGAGGCTGAGGCAGGAGGCTCCATCTCCTCAGTCTCCTGGGCCACGCAGTGAGACCCACGCCAGTCTCCCAAGACACTTGCAAGAAACCACCAGGAGGAAGAGGTCAGCTCCAGCCAGCCCACCCAGCCCCCAGTACCTCACCTATCACCCAGCCCAGCCCCTTCCTCCCACCCAAGCAAGTGAGAGGCTGACTCAAGCCTGGAGGAAGGCCATTTATTTCCAAGATAAAGACTGAACTGGTAAGACAGGACTTTTGGGAAGCAGGAAGTCTTAGTCGTCGCCTAGAGAGTTGTCAGGGACACGGTGGTGGGAGGCCATGCGTACGTGGGGGGGCCTTTATCCAACACTGTTACAACACTTTTTCAAATGAGCAAAACATCTTTAAAAATCCTTATAAATTCTTTATAATATGTTACACATTTAGAGACAATATTTACAAAAAAAGGATGGAGAGAGAGAGAGAAGTCTACAGCAAATCTGCATAAAACAAGACTGACGGATGTGGCAGTGGGGTCCATCCATGACCTATGGGTCTTCCCTGGAATGAGTGAAGGGACATCGGGGGCCTGGTGATCTATGTACAGTGCAGGGGGACAAAGGGGACTGGGTCCCTTCCACCTGGCGAGACACCCAGCTCAGACCCTGCAAACCAGTGTGACAGAGACGCCAGGGGCTGGTGACTGTCCCTCCTTACAAGGAAAAGGTAGGATCCCTGTGCCTGAGGTGAGAAACAGCAAGCACAGGAGAGAGCAAAAAGGAGGGAGGAGGCTGAGGCAGGAAAATCTCCACAAGTTCAAGGCCAGCCTGGGCTACATAGTGAGATCCTTTTCCCCTAAACTAAAAAATAAAACAAAACACCTAATACAAAACGAAAAGGAAGGAGGGATACAGGCAAGGGGACCCTGGCTCCTTCTCAAACTGCTGGGGTTAGCAGCTCCCCATCTGATCACTGAGCGGGGTGACATGGAGGACAGCCAAAGGGTTTTCGTGTGTGTGTGTGTGTGTGTGTGTGTGTGTGTGTGTGTGTGTGTGTGTGAGACCTTGGTGAGGGTTTCGGTGCTGCGCCTGTGGCCCAACCCCTTCTCTGGCTCTGAGAGGAGCAGGGACAGATCCTTGAGTGTCCCAAAAATAGGGGTGCTGGGGGCGGTGGAGGGGCATTGAACAGGCAGAATTGATACCGGAAACGTCTTTGGGCAGTGACTACTCACGAGCACACACACAACCTTATCCCGCCAGCACCTCCTCCCTGACACCCACGCCCCCTCAGTGGGCCAAGAAAGGGGCTTCCAGGCCCCCTCTCCAAGGTCAACAAGGGCCCACTGGGTCACACGCGCGGGGGACAGGCCCAGAAGCCCCTTGTCCTCCCCGGGCTG